CATGATCGTGCTCCGATGAGCGTATGGTTCTAGCCTTTCTCCCGGCCAGGAGCCTCGTCGTCCACTGGCTCCCGCGGCCTGACAGATGTTGTCATGAAGTGATTTGGGATGTTTACTACTTTGCTAAACCCAGAAAATTCTTCAGACATCTAGTTGTTTTCTTGGTGTTGTTTGATCTATGATGACCTCTTAGGCAATTGGTTTAACACGCGCTCGGGTGGGGGGTCAAATTGGCCCCCCGAAGGTTTTCCAGAATTGTTTCCAAACGGTGCGGCGTAGTCGCGCCAAATTTTGCATAGCTGTTCACAACTAAATAGCGGAGCGTTTGGTGCAAAAAATTCAGATGTGCCTTATAAGGTCACTGACATATGACAGGTCAAAGTCAGGCCATGGTTTCAGCAAAGTCAATTTCTAGGGAATCGTTCAACCTGATGCAGCAACGGAGTGTTTGACGAAGCTATACATCTTTGAGATGCTTTATTAGGCAACACAAGCTTTGAATGAGCGAATTATGCTGATCTATGGTCAGGTATGAAGGTCAGACCAAGATCAAAGCCAATCTGGTTTATTGCTCTAGGGCTTGCCGTATGGGGTATTTTCCCGTGCTCATTTTGAGCTCATTGACAGCACGAGTCGCATCATACATCCTCAATTGACTTCTTAGAGGCCATAATAGGTCATTTGCCTAAGATGATCCAGGTCAACATTTTTTTAATGAACATACTGCCAAGCGTAATCTTTGTCCCTCATTCAAATACAAAATTCAGGGCAATCTTTTATGATTTTGGTCACCATGACAATCAAAAGGTCAAGCAAGGTCACCGACCTTTAATGGACTTGTGACCTTTTGCTTAGCAACGGTTATCTAGGTTCTGGGGGCACTTTTGAGACCAACCTAAAATTTGACCTTGTTTGACCTTACTTGACGCTAAGGTCATGACCTAGTTACCTCAAAACTCGACCTAAGTGAGCTCACGTACAGGTCAACACAACCTGCAAATTTGGTGTATCCAGCTTTCTTAGTTCCCGAGATCTTAGTGGGGGGTCAAATTGATCCCCCACCCGAGCGAAGGGCATCTAGCCGGCCACCCGGGTGCGTATTGGGGATGTTTTTCTATATTCCTAATAAAACATTGAAAAAGACGTTGAATGCCTCCTTTCCACATGAATGCCATCTCTGTTCATTATGACTCGTCAGAAGCACCCTCATGGGCCACCTTGTACGTCATGCATCCCAAATCAACTCTGCCTTACCGTGTGCTGCCACCATGAGGTTAACATCACCTCAGCATGCTGTTTTTGCTAGATGGAGGCCTCTCAGTTGGAGATGACGAGCGATGACACATGCCAGATGACACCTGTCCAGAGATGACCTAGGAACTTGTGGTTGGCATTTCAAGTTTTTGGCATCAGTCTAAACCATACCCATGCCTACCTTGCGCCATTATGCCCTGGAAGAGCTCTTTGGCTTTGACTACTACTTGGTCGCAGGATTTCATTTGACGCCTGATCTGTGTAATTACAAAGCAAGCAAATCGGAAGTGTCTTCGTAATTACTAAATTATTAATCAATTGGTATGATACTTTTGATATCCTCGCCGACACTTAGCCAAAAATATGTATAGTCTTCAAATTAGTCTATGGAATGGGTGACTTCCACATGATTGAATCATAATTATCTAGGTTCAGTATCCCCTACCCAGTCGGTTTTTGACGTCAAACCAGACATCCTACCATAAGCAAACAGCTGCCGACCAAATTGGATGTTTACGCGATATAACAAATAACGGCAAATTTCTCCAAATTATCTACTTATTCTACTTTGTTGGGCCATCAGTGGGATCATGGCCCCTTCCAAAAAAACTATTTGCCAGAGTTTATATTACATAGTGAAATCAACACCGAAATGGGAACCTATGGGTCCTCAAAATGCAATGACGGATCGGACCGCGCATTGGTATGTACACCACGTGACCATGCTGTTAAGAATAATGAAACGCTGTGCTTGACGCAACTTAGCAACTACTCATTCGCAGAAAGCTATCTAGTCAAAACGCGTGATCAAAATATAATTTTTTTTTCGTTGGCTCCTGGTTTTCAAATGGTGAATGTTTGTGCCGAAAATGACTAAGTGAGCATGCCCTTGACATCAGCCCCGACATCTTTTTCACCTCTGCCTTGCTGGGAAAAACACCGACTCTGAATGACTTTGAAAGGCCAATACGACGGACAGCTGACCACGCCATTATTTTCCGAGTGATGCTACATTCTGACGAAAAGGCGACATTGTTTAACGCCTTGACACCGTCTGAAGTATAAATCCAATAATCCAAGAATGTGGAGTGGTTGAAAGCATCATGACTTTTGATATCAATTATGATTCTGGCATCTTTTCGCAGTTCTTGAAAAGCCCGGGCGCGGGTTATTCACTCCAAAATTGGTTCACTTGCTTTAAACTGGGGTGTTTTCGGGGTGTTTACCCGTTTAAAATTTTCCCTCATTCTGTATGATATTTTTCCGAAAAATCTTATCCCTCAGCTGCTCTGCAAGCACTGACTCACCTGCGTAACCATAAACTATTCAAAACCGACCTCCTTTGTTATGATTCGGTTGCACTCTGCCTACCCGCCTCTGGTTACACTGCCTGCGCCTGAACACTTAACCTTCATTGCGTAGAAGGTCATAGTAGCTATGGAAGGTCATTGCTATGGAATGTCATAGTAGCTTAACAGAGCCTCTGCCGGCCGTCCCCGTAACATGTTTGCTAAGAAGTGCTGGCACGGCTACTTGTTCTGGCACGGGGAACGCGGCAGAATCTTCGTCATACATGGAGACTTTGACGAAGCCTTTAACTATTGAACAGAAAGATAGCAGCCGACCGGAAACATGGGAAGGGCTATAGCACCCAGCCCGCTGGTTATTAAGGCGCCTTCCAAATCACCACCCGGTAAGACACGCTCTTCATCTTATGACCCGGGATCGTCCTTCCCGGACGTCACCACCCGAACCCAAGCCACCACTCCCTGTTCCGTCACACGAGGGAGGCTCGCGTCTCCCTTATCTGTCGCACAAGGGAGAACCGCGCCTCCCCGGTCCTCCGAGCGAGGGAGGCCCGCACCTCCCCGGTCCTCCACACGAGGGAGACTCGCGCCTCCCCGGTCCCCTTCACGAGGGAGGCACGCGCCTCCCCGATCCTCCACACAAGGGAGATCGCCGCCTCCCCGGCCCTCCACGCGAGGGGAGACCGCACCTTCCCGGTCCTCCACGCGAGGGAGACCCGTGCCTCCCGGTCCCCTTCACGAGAGAAGCACTCACCTCCCCGGTCCGTCACACGAGAGGAGGACCTCGCCTCCTCGGTCCTCACACAAGCGAGGCCCGCGTCTCTCCGGTACTCCACACGAGGGAGACCCGCGTCTCCCCGGTCCTCCACACGAGGGAGACCCGCGCCTACCCGGTCCTCCACACCAGGGAGGCCCGCACCTCCCCGGTCCTCACACGATGGGGACCAGCGCCTCCCCTATCCTCTTCCCGATAAAGACACAAATCTACCCGGTCCTCCACACGAGGGAGGCCGGCGTCTCTCCGGTCCTCACACAAGGGAGGCCGGCGTCTCTCCGGCCCTCCACACGAGGGAGGCCGGCGCCTCCCCGGTTCTCCACATGAGGGAGACCGGCGTCTCTCCGGTCCTCCACACGAGGGAGGCCGGCGTCTCTCCGGTCCTCCACACGAGGGAGGCCCACGTCTCCCCGGTCCTCCACACGAGGGAGGCCGGCGTCTCCGGCCACCACCGGTTTGGCGGCCCGAGCTGTGCCGTTCATCCCAGTGACGGGTGTAAGCCTCTTACGGAGTCGGCAGCCACCGGCGCCCGGCTGGCGGCCTTGGGGCGCGGCTTACCGGGCCGGAGCCATCTCCGCGGCCTTGTAAACATGTCGCCGAATCGAGCTGGCCCGGCACGCAGCCTTTGTGTTTGCACGCGCGGCATCCAGGCCGCAGCTGCGTGTTGTCTCGGCGTGCATTCCTGCCGCTGGCTGGTGGTGGTCTGAGGGGCGGGGCGGGTTTGGCACGGCCGCCGCGAGAGGGCGATAGACCACCCGAAAGTTGCGGCTGGCTGGAGGGGTCGGCCACTCTGCGTCGGAGCTCGCGTGGATTGGCCGGCCGCAGCCAGGTATTGCCGTGTCTAGGCACACGCGAAGCTGGTCGGTTGGCTCACGTCTTGCGCCATGCTGGTGGCCCATCCACGTGACCTCTGCGATGAAGAGGCCGTGACGGGCGCCTCTCGCCCTTCCCTGGGACCTATGGCGTGTGACCGGGAGCCTTGATCGACCCAAAACGGACCAATGCTTGGGCGAGGTTGAAAGGGTGGGGGGGGGGGGGAGTGGTCAAAACTTGACGTCATGGATTCACCGGAACCGGGAGAGAGGAAGACAGCCTTCAAGAGGCACGTATGATTCACTGTTAAACGCCTCTGGAAAACCTTTCGTGTAGCCTGGGCCCCACATGGAAGGGCGGGTGGGAGGTCAGAATGGGGAGGGAGTGAGGCGCAAAGTGGTGCAAAGCACCATCCGCGGATGCGTGATAATTCACCAGCTCCGTGGCCTTGTGTGTCCGGATGACTCACCTTCCATGCGGCATAACGAGCAACATCCGTGTCAGGCAGCGCTGCACTCAGATCGTGATCTCACCCCCGCAAAATCAGGACAGAGCATTGTCTCATCTACGCCTACGGGCTTACTTCTAGACGTCAGCCTCGACGAGCCCATCGTCACACTAGTGTTTTTGCTGCTCTGTTAGTTCTGTGCACCGCAATAAGCAACACCCGACGTAATTAAGGTTCACGGCCGGCAGCACACCGCACCTCTCGACCTTCACCATGAGAAGTCAGCTGCATCGGACCCACTGCTGCGCGCCCGCCAGGGCTGGTGCGTATGGACACCCCTCCCACCGCCGACCTGCTCGGCGCCCGACCCGCGCGCCCTTCGGGGCCTCGCCCCGTGCCTCACCATGATTGGTCTGCTCGCCGCGCCCGGGTCGTCAGGAGCTCGCCGCCAGTGCGGTCCGTTCGCGGCCTCCACCGGCGCCTGCACTGCTGCCGCTGCAGCCGAGCCAGGCCGTCTCTGCGGCCGGCCGGCAGCGGCCGTCGTCGACCGCAGCCCGTTCGGTGGCGCTGCCAGCCGGGACGGTACCGGACGGCACCGGCCGGCACCGGCCGGAGGTGGACGCGGCTCGGTTTAGGACGGCGGCGCTGATGCTAGAAGCCTTCACAAGGGGTTTTCCTTAACACAAACCGCACGCAACCCAATGACCTGTGTCCGTACCTGCCCGCTATTCATTCATATTCGGTTGTGCCCATCGGTAGCCCAACCGTTGAATTTTTGGAGCACTTCGGTTATGAATTATGGAAGAGGTTTAGACAGTTTTAACATAAAGTCACTGATTTGCGTTCATAACTGCAACTGCGGTGGCACTGGAGGGAGTTATTACAAAAATAAGTGCAAGCGGTAACATTGTGCAGTAATTTTTTCGACACGTACCAGCCATTCTGCAAACTTTTTACCCATACCCATGCTCGTAATTCTCCCAAAATAAGTACCCAGTCCACCCTGTGGCCCGTTCTATATAAGCAGCGATGTGTTTGCCCAACAGTGCTGTCCTCTGACTGGTGCATCACCGACACGTAGGGGTGGACAATGGTGCTTCAGCACCAGATGTAGGCTGGGTTTCAAGAACATGAGCCCGAGTCAAGGTTCTCACCGGTGCCTTAGAACTGTGTTCCAATCCCCGAGTTCACCATTCGCACATTAAATGAGCCTGGGTCTGAATCAGGGTCAAGCAAATTTCACAGTTTTCAAGTCTGAGTTAGAATTCTAGGTCAGGTCGGTCAGGTGCACTTCGAATGTTAGTTCACGTCTGGGGTCTGAAGTCTCGTGTCCCAGATTCCATCACCTTGGCACAGGATCGTACAATGCACGTGGTTTCATGTAAAATTAATCGTGATAGAATTCATCAGGAATGGAAACTGACAGTAGTGAGGTTTTACTTAGCCTGTCTTGACATAACCTTAGGCCGATTGCATATGCAAACTCAAGGGATTTTTTTTCGTGGAATTTCAAAGGTGAGTAGGATTTTTATTTGTCTGATTGCACCACAGGTAAAAAAAGTTTACTCAGGTAAATGTATGCAGACGTTTTACGGCAACGAAGCCAATTTGAGTCGCAGCACACGAGCGAAACGTGAAAAAGTTTACCTGTCTTCGACGAAAAGTCAGAAAGTGTGTCACAGGTGTCACATATTTGACCAAAATACAATATTTCACGGAGGTCGGCGTTGAGTAATTTTGAACCTGCATCGCCAGTTTAGCGTGTTATGGCTTATGTTATGGCCTTTTATGCCCTTCTAGCATTCTGGTAAACATCATGGAAGATTTTGATCTTTTTGATGATGCGGCATTAAGGAGGCTGGAACATTAAACCCGGGGTGAAGGTGACGTGATGTGGCGGGTTCAAAGGAAGCCCGGAAAATTTCATGCCAGGATCAATCTGGAGTGCCTTATGCCAGGGCTTTGCAGTAGACGTACTGTTGCTAAAAATAGCAGAATTAGGCACCTGTAATTGATTAAACAAAGTTGCAACACTGCCACTACTATAATTTTGGTTTAAGTAGGAGAATGCACCTTTGAGTGCTTGCTTGCCAGCATGGCCGTGACTCGAATGAGCAGCCGTAAACGCCGAATTGCAACAAACTGCCGCCCCGCCGCCGCCGCCTCTGGCGCCCTCGAAGCTGGATGGCATGCTTCATGGTTTGGTGCTAATTGGTACATGTACACACTGACGCTCTTTCGCACATAATCACCCCGCTAATCGGCTACCTGGTGATGGTGCTCGCAATTGCTCTGCGTCAGTCGGACCCGCCTCTCGTGACGGCCCCTGCGCATTTTCCTCGTTCGCCCGCTTTTGCAGTGGCTATCTGATCACCGGTTCGTTGTGAAGATTCAGATAAAATATCTGCTGATTGGTCTTGTGCTTTTTTAGTGACTGAAACCGTGTCAGCCAATTTTTCGTTGGCCTCGAAAGCTTGGTGTTGGCTCGTCTTGGTATGGCTGTCAGTGGCTAATTTCAGAAACCAAGGCAGCATTGTATGCAGCGCTCTATGATAACATGGAGCATCCATGTTCTGAGGGGTATGCTGAACTGTATCCCATTCATGACTGAGCACACGCCCATAGGTGCCGTAGATGACTTTGTATTGGCCATTGCATTCTCTGGAGTTTTTTTGCACTTAAGCCCGAATGAGCTCTGATATGTTCAATAGCCAAATGACAATTTTGCATGCATTTCTTAAAAACAATCTGGACCGGCTGACTGGTCGGCCAGTTGATGCTTCTGGCGTAGTCACTGTTAAGTTTGAAGTCCTCTCCCCCATCCAAGTGACAGTGCCTTTACCTATCCCCTCCTCTCCCCAACAGTCATTTAACAGCCCCGACCAGGCGGATGTTCATAACCTGGTGGATATCTCTCCGCTCCAGTACCGTGCGCTCTCGTCAGGCATGGCCAGCAACACACGGTTGCCAGCAGCCAGCGCCCGCCGATCCGGCATCTCTCGGTCCAGGCCAGGGTCTTAGCTGCTGTTTCTGCAGCGGCGTGGGGACTGGGCGTGTGGCGATGGGTGGGAGATGGTCAAACGAGCGAAAACGTTCTGCCCTTTGTCATCAAACACCTTGACTCGCTTCGTCCTTGCCGTCTCCCACAGTCTTCATCATGGAGCATTTTTTATAGACTGCCGTCATGTCCAATGAATACGAGGGCACACAGTACCGAAGCAAAAAAGCAAGGCAGAGTACTGACGGAGTAGGTAGCCGTGGCCATGGTTTATATAAATAGTCGTGGGCGTTGAGTACTCTTCCATTCTTCCCTTTTCTTCCTGTGTGCGATTATAATTTTTGAGTACCCTTACTCTGATGGGCCTGCATTGCCTATCAAAGCTAGTATACATGCAAATAAGGATAAAACAGTTTTCTCGGTATACATTAGAAAGGGCGTCATCCGGGGCTATATGATTCCAATTTAGGTGCATGCAAGCAATGTTTACTTGAGCATATTACAGCAGCGATAGCGAAAAGAGGATATTCAAACAGTACTATATTTTAAGCGTATGACAGTAGATCACTGATGACGTCGAAAATTACTTTCGAGTTTGTTGTGCAATCCGAATTATCCCGTGGGTAAATTTACATGATGGAGTAAATATCTTCAAGTTTGTACATGCAATCGGTCACTTTACGTAACTACAGGCATACTCGATGTCCGGCGGAGACAGCATTGCAGTAGGTTATCGACTCATGCACATATGTTGGTAGCCTTCAAGCTTCAGCGGCCAGTGCTAATTCGTACGCAACCTGGCCCGAAACCAATGTAACCCAAGCAAGCCTGGCCGAAGCCCCATGGGAGCCACCCTAGCCAGTCTAACCCGATGCATACCAATAAGAGAGGGCTACTCGCATGCTCCATCACAAACCACGCATAACATACTTTTTGCTCTTAAAAACGCACCTGTCAGTCGTGATAGAAGCTTACATGACGATCAAAGTTGACTTTGAGTTCCATGTTTTGGAATGTTTTTGGTCAAAATTTGAGCCCCAGTCCTCATATCTTGAGTCAGGGCTGAAGTACGAGACACGTTTTTTTGTAATCGACCAGTGCATGTACGAGGTCAATTCAGCCACGAGTGAGTTCACGCATTTGAGGACGGGTCACAAGGCCATGAACGCCATGAGATCATGAGGTCCAGTGGGTCGGGGGTCTCGCGCACCGTCCAGCCAGACTCAGACTCATGCGTGTCCTAACCCGCCGGCGAGCGGTGTCGCATCGTAAGCGACCAGGCGACAGTGCCACTGGGGCACTAACGGACGCCCATGTCTTTGGGCGTCATAAATAAACATAGCCGGTAGTGTGGTAAGTCGTTGTAACCTTCATCCTGGAAATATAACTCGTGATTCACTCTGTAGCTTCAATATCTGTACCTTTTATATCTGCACCCAGACTGCTTTGATTGAGCACCAATTATTGTAGGCATGCAACATTTTGGATCTGATGTCTTTAAATAATGTTAACAAATGCCGTGAGTTGCATGTTCTTGTTTTAGAAAAAGCAGGCATATTCCTTATTTTCATTGCATGCATAAAGTACTTTTTAAATCATAGCCTGAGCTGCCGAAATTTATATGGCCGTAAACTAAGCAAACTTGTCCCATTTAGTCCTCATCGTTGTTTCACCTTTACAACGACCTCCTCACGTCACGTTCATACCTAAAACTGCCAAGGATGCCTCATGAGATTCTGATCCGTACAATCCAAAGGTGAGCAAACGTAAAGCATATTGCATTCACTATGCCACTGCACATGGGCGTAGACAAAGGGGAGGGGGAGGCGAGGGGGACATAACCCTCGCCTTTCAAGATGGGCGCCAGCAATGTCATCTGCTTGTCATACTTTTTCAGATTTAATTCTCGTTGAACTTAATTTTGTGTTACCTTAAGCATGCGACCCAATTTACCTAGTTGAGCGGACACTCCTCCAACTGCACGGAACAATACTGCTGCATGTGGTAAAATGACAGCATCTGGCCCTACCATGCGCTGCTGACGGCGATATCTAACGGCAAACTTCAGGTCACTCTACTATACAAAGCTCCCTTTTGTCTTTCGTACAGCCCAGCGGGGGCGAGAGGCATTTCTAAACGGTTCTGGTTTCAGAGAAAATGATTCAGCAGGTGTGCTGGTCGGGGCAGGGGTACAACTATGCAGTACCATGGACCACAGGCAACGCACATTGCGTGCCTTGTATTTGTTTAGACGCCATGATTAGGCGCCCTGTGTCCTCAAGTAGACGTTGGCAAACGGCGAAGTGTGTTAGTCACACATCAGCACAGTTTTGAAGACAAATGTTACATCCTTCCATTATCGAGTGATGCTTGTGTTGAGCGACCAAATACATGCCAGTGTTTCGAGAGAAAAAAAAACACCTGCCTTTCCTTTTTAGTAAAGTCCAAACCACTTGCAGAGATAGCTAAGTCTGATGTTTCGCCC